GCAGGCTGCCATGACCAGGGCCCCAGGTAAACTGGGCAGAACTTTGCATGGCCTGTCCCAGATATGAGGGATAGGGAGGGCCCCTGGGCAACAGGCTCCGCCAAAGAGCTAACTTGCGTTTGCTCTGGACACAGATAAGACCCGAGGGTAACTCATGGGTGGGGGTGGAGGACAGATACTCATCTCCAGGGAGGTTCCCAGACCAAAAGATGAACTAAGCTTGGTCTGGGTGGCTTGAGCTTCCCCTTGAGCACCCTTTGTCCCAATGCCCTTAAGAGACTTTCCTTCCTTCTTACTAATCCTTCCTTCTCCAAACTTCAGGCCTTTGAATGTCTTCATTCCTTCTCCTCTGTTTGTCATTTCTGAGTATGACTTGTTCTTTCATCCTAAGGTGGGCTGGAGAAATGTGGTAAAATGCCTTAGCTTTCTCCAATAGGAGCTAAACTGAGAGACAGAGCCTTAGGTCATATAAATCAAACAAAAGGACCAAGACTCTGATGGTAGGACAGAGAGTGCAGGCACCAGACAGGAGGGAGCTTTCTAGAGGGGAGAGAGAGGGATTTCCAATGTTAACTGGGCCTGGTACTCAAGGAAGTCCCCATGGGGTCTGCCAGGACCAGACCTTGTGCCCAAGTTCCCTCAGGCTGCTCAGGACTCTGGGCTCAAACCCAGGACTCCCGTCCTCAGCCCCATCCCTGCTCCAGAGAGGAAGTCAGCATCTCCATGGACCGCTGACCTGCTGGCATGTCATCACATAGGACATATTCAATGAGAGACAGCTGCATCGTATTAAAGGTGATTCAGCCCGTTATAGAATCTTAACTGAACTATCCCAACCATCGGTAGCAAAGGAGAAATGAAAGAGAAACCTAAATATCTTCTTTCCCTTTCTTGTTTTAAAAATGTTGCTGAGACTGACATGGTCAGAACTTTTCAGTCAACTTAGTAAACGTCTCCCCTAGTTAGGTTGTCTCATGACTGGAAAAACCAGGACTGAAGACCCAACTGTGTCCGCCCGGGAAGGCTGAGAATGAAGACAGGTGAGGCTCCTGTTACCTGGTCTGGAAGCTGTCGGTGGTTCCTCCGGCTTCAGGTAGGTGGCAGTAAGGGTATTTCTATACCTCAATCTCCCTCCACGAAATGCAAGAGGAAACGTTCACCAAGTCTTCCTGGCTTCTCATTTGGGAAGGTTTGTGGGATCTAAGACCTCATCTGGCAGGGCCTCCTCAGCGTTTGGACTCAGGTTGATGAAGTAAGCGTTAGGGGAAGGATTGCCACTTCCTGGTTAAGCCCTGCCCCCAGCTTTTTAACTGAAGGAGTGGCTGACCTTTGCCCGTGTAATTTGACTCTAAAAAGGTTCTGCACCTTTTTTTTTTTTAAGTTGGCAAGTCCAAGTTTCTTTATTTTATTTTTTTATTTTATTGAATTTATTGGGTAGCAAGGATTCTCACTCCCCTCCAGGACAATTATGTGGGTATTTTCCTGATAGTTTTTATTTATTTTATTTTTTTACTTTCTTCTGTTCAGCAAATGTTTACTGAGCACCTATCACAGGTGTTATACAAATACTTAATCTTAACTACATTGAGAGGCAGGTGTTATGATTCTCATTTTACAGATGAGCAAACGGAGGCTCAGAGAGGTCAGATACCTTGCTGGTGGTTCTTATCAGTTAAGCTGATATCCAAACCCTGGTCTTTCTGGCTTCACACCATATCATGTTACCTCTCAGAATCAAAGATTATAGTCAAATGGAACCCCTGGAAAAGCTTTAAAAATTGCCATAGTAAAATTTATAAAAACTCATTAAAAGATCCTATGCCACAATTCCAGG